TTTAACTTTAAAATTTGTTGTGGAAAGAAAAAATTTGTAGCTTCCGTTTTTCTGGAAAAAATTGAGTTGCCCTTTTTCGAACAAAATTTAGTATGTAGTGCTAACTTGACACCATACACCTAGTCGATAGAGTTGAGATATCCAATATGTTACTATGCCATTAATTGTAGCTTTTAACTTTAAAATTTGTTGTGAAAAGAAAAAATTTGTAGCTTCCGTTTTTTTGGAAAAAATTGAGTTGCCACTCGTGAAAATTGTGTAACCATCTTTTTTAAATGCAGATTCATGTGACCAGAGAATTTTTTGGATGAATTGGGGATTTTCATTATGCCTCTGTAGCATTGTTCTACAAAATTAAATCCTTTCAGGATAATCCCGAGGAAGAAGACTTTGAACTCGTTGTACGTGAAACGGATGCATTTCGGCTCTTTGTAAAATACGATGTGCTGTGCTTGTGGGTATTCCCGTTCTTTCTTCAATTCCACGCACGGAAATACTTGGGTCATCTGCGACCTCTTGCAACACTTCTTCCTCGTAAGGAAAGCAAGCTCTACCTCCAGCCCGTATTTGATTCGGGAAACGGCCGCCCTCTGTGAGTGAACGGTGCACATTAACAAACACGAGGTGGTCCGGATAGCGCTCTAAATTTGGATATCTCTCCGATAAAGTTTAGCGGCGGCACTTGCGTTGCATCTGCATTCTCCATAAATGAGGTGAATTTTTTTGAATATTCTTGTGAAGTGTAGCGTGTAGGCATGGTAGCTAACAAGGATGCCAAGACAAAAGTCCAATTCCAAAAGATAGAAGCCAATGTTGCCGGTATGTAATCAACAAGTCCAATTCACAAAAATCCAAGTCCAAAAAGCCAAAGTTGTCAGTACTAAATCAACACAAGCGAATACGGAAATGTGCGCTGTAGACGAATGAGCGAAACGAACTAACTGCATTCCCACGACAGCCGGTTCTACGTACCGGAATGACTCGGGGTTTTACCCGACCAAGGGCTGTTGTTTCGGCGATCTAACCTCGTTTAAGGCGGCGAAGTATCTCAGAAGTTGTTCGTCCATAGGGCTACATTCGCTACGTATTCTTCTACTCAGGGCTGGCATCGCGTCAAACCCAGGTCCAGAAATCTACACCTGCTGTGTATGCCGGAGACGACTACACCACAACTCCACCTCAGTCAAGTGTAATGCCTGCGAGGGGTGGAGTCACCTTAGAGTCTGCTCAGGACTACGGACACATCGACAGTGGACCACGTCGTACTTGGCCCCCTGTTGCTCAAACAGAGCAGCCTCCACGGCTAACCTCAGTCCACCACCACAGACCATACCACAGCCACGACAGACCACATAAAACACACAACTGCACCACCACCCACACGCCGCCGCCAACAACTGGTTCCCCCTACAATCTGTACGCTATGTCAGACCAGGATATTCCGTAATGTGACATCAGTCAAGTGCAACACCTGCCTTGGCTGGTGCCACTTTAGGGCATGCTCAGGTCTGCGTACCACGCGAGATTGGACTGGGAACTTCGAGGGCTCGTGTTGCGCTGCTCGGTCGCAGACCTCAACTGCGACGCCTCCCGCCACCACCACAGGGCGGCAACCATAACAGCAGCGCACACAGCCAACGGCGGTGAGAACACACACATCACTTACACCCCACATCACGACACGTCTCCCGAACCACATGAAGCTCCTTCAATTTAACTGCAACGGGCTACAGAGCAAGATTGAGGAGATAACCGTCTTCATGTGTCGGCATGGTATATTGGTAGCTGAGGTCCAAGAGACGAAGTTGCACAGCAATTCAACATTGTTGAATTGTGCCGGGTACAACGTGCACCGTCGAGATCGCGAGCGAGATAATGGTGGTGGCTTAGCGTTCATCACGCACCACACCGTGCAGTATCGTCTTATCGAAGCAGACATCGACCGCAGGGATATCACCCAAAAATGTCAGGGCATTGCTATCCGGTCAGGCGATGTTGAGCTCGAAATATTTAACATATATATATCCCCTGTCACCTGCTGCCCGGAAGGATATCACCCTGATATAGGTGCGCTCCTCAGAGGTGAAAACCGTATGGTAGTTGGTGACTTTAATGCGACGACGCACCCACCAGGATTATGGGTAACTGCAGTAGCTCGCCATACATCACCATAGTCAGCGCTGGTCTGATAAACAGCATAACATGGCGA